CAGGAGCTTCAATTCAATCCATGATTACGTCTGCATTTTCAGGCACACTCTTTGATCTACATCCGTCGTATAAACAAGCTCAAACTTTAATTCGTAACTGTTTTTTCTGCATATTACCCTGCATTTGCCCTTTTTGGTGTGTATCTTTGCGTTACTAATCCCTCTGTGTTTTTCCTCCGTGCTTCTCTTTTCAGTTACCCCCCCATGAAGGGCGCCCAAGCTGCTCTGGATGTTCTCTTGAGCTACTCTTGGGGGTCAGTGCAAGAGGTACGCTTTCACATGCAGTAAGCACTCAAATGAGTTTGTGCCTCAAATGAGTTACTTCTCTCAAGAATCGCCCCTCTTGTTTGTGCTAATAGACCAGTGGATGTTCTACGCCATATATGCTGCCAAAGCTGCTCCTGCAACGAACAGCCTGATCTATGTTCTATACACAACCACACTCATAAATCTTCCATCCACAGGTCCACTTAGTCTTGTTCGACCAGTGGATGTTCAACGTGTGGCTGAATGCTATTCAAGCCGCCAACCTTCCACGGCTGCTGCTGCACCGACCACCACCGTTGCCACTTCAGCAGATGCGATGTGAGCCGGGACAACAGCCACCAGAGCAGGAGGTGAAAAGGGAGGTGAAAGAGGGGATGAGTAAGCGGAGTAAGTATCGGGAGGCAGAGCTAGGAGTAGAAGCAGCAAGGCCAGCATGGCAGGAGGAGAATGAGCAAGGGCTTCAGTCACTGCAACAGCAGGGAGTGGAACAGCTACACCAGCAGACACAGCAGCATGCACATCTGGGAATGCAAGAGGATGCACTAGAGCACCCACCGGAGCCACAAAGGGGGGAAGAATGGCTTGCCTCTCAGCAGACACAACAGCACGCTCAGCTGGTCGCAGAGAAAGGATTCCCTTCCAAGGCAGACCTGCATCTGCAGCAGCAGCAGCAGCAGCAGGAGTTGACTTTTGAGGCGCCTCAAAAGTCGTCTCAGCTGGTCGCAGAGAAAGGATTCCCTTCCAATTCCAAGGCAGACCTGCATCTGCAGCAGCAGCAGCAGCAGCAGGAGCTGTCTCAACGGCCACAGAAGCAGCGACAGGAGGAGGCTCACACACGACTGCAGCAGCTTTCCTGGAAGGGCCAGGAGGAGGAGTGGGCATCAGCAAAGGTGGTATCCCAGCCGCCGCTGCGGCAGCAACAGAAGCAGCCTCGGGAGCAGCCTCGGGAGCAGCCTCGGGAGCAGCCTCGTGAGCTGCCTCAGGAGCAGCCTCAGACGCCAATGCAGCAGCTGCCCCAGCAGGGCTATGAGCATGGACAGCAGGCGGCCGAATGGGCATCATCAGCACAGGTGTCACAGCAGCTGCAGCAGCAGCAACAGAAGCAGCCTCAGGAGCTACAGCAGCAGCAACAGGAGCTCCAGCTTCAGAAGCTGCAGCACCAGCAGAAGGGGGAGCAGCCGCGGGAAAGGAGACAGAAGCAGTTAGAAGCGACTCAGATGCAGGCTGAAACGTCACAGAAGCAGCCTGCTCCTGCCAGCCCTGACCTAGGCATGTTGCAGGATGATGGGGATGGGCGGAGGTTGCCGGAGAGGGGAGCGAGTGAGAGGAGGAAGGGTGGAGGGGTGAAAAGCAGGAGAAGGAATATTTTTTAGCTCGGTACGATAAAAAGGCCGGGCCTGCCCTAAGCACACTGCTGAATGACTGAAGTGGGTTGCTGAGGATGGTGTTGGAGGATATGGAGAACTCCGCCTCCCTTGACATGTAAAGGGCTCCTCCGGCTGTAGCTCCGGCTGTAGCTCCGACTGTAGCTCCGGCTGTAGCTCCAGTGGCTGTACTGCGAGCAGCCCCACCCCATCTTAGCAACTGGCAGCAGAACCAAAAACAGCACCGGCACCAGCACCAGCACGATCATTGCACACAACAAGTAGGACAGCAACAGTGCCAGCCCTACCTTATGTGTGCGATTTCTATGTGCAGTTTCACCATTGTAAATAGTGCTGGAAAGCTGGGATGTACTATATGTTGCAAAACGCTGAGCTGAGCAGGAGGTGCCTCATCTCCTTTTCTCTCCTCTCAGGTCTACAGCCTACGGTACCGCACAAATTGAGCTATGATTTGAGTACTGGAAAGGCAGGCGACGCTGGGATTGCTAAGAGCGTGTTCCTACACATCGTATCAGAAACAACTCGTATCAGCTTTGCGTGGTGAAATGCGTTTCAGTGTGTTCGACTGCGGTTGGATGCATTTCAGTGCGGTTGGCTGCAAAACGGGAATGGGTGCTGGAGTGAAATGAGCTGTTTCACATTTGCCAAAAACAGGGAGGGGCTCCAGCTTTAAAAGCATAACCGTACAAATTCACAACACGAATTACACAAACAGCAAGGAGTGGGGGGGGATGTCTAGTTCCCGTACAGACAAGACGCATTTTGTACAAGATATAGTTTCATGCTCTATTGATATATGTACACGGAAATTCCTATTTGGTTTTACTGCACTGTCACTTCCGCGACTGGAAGCTGGTAGCATGCGTCATTCATTACAACCACATCGCCATAGTCCTGTACATTACCCTCTTCTCCACAAGCAGCAGAAACGCGATTATTTTAGTCCTGCCACACCCGCGACGATTACCATCTCTGTCTCGAGAGTATCCCGCAGCAGTTGATACTTGCCGTGTGAACCAGTCTCCCCGTGGCGAGCTCTTGCGGTGAGTGGGGCACATTCCGTTTTGCAGAATAGGTTCGAAGCTGCTAGACCGAGTGCCATGAAACGCGAGGTCCAGACTCCCTTCCTCCGCGCTGTCCATGTATGAGAGACCTTTGACTGAAAGGTTCAGGGAGTGTGGACGGAAAAAATATTATATGGAGATTGTTTCCGCCTCGCAAGAAAATCAGCGTCTACAGATAAGTATTTTCCGCCGTGGGCTTGAACGCCACGCATCTCACGTAAGAGAGTGGACTTACCGAGTGCAGCATCAGCGGGTAGGTTCTGTGCAATCGCGAGAAACTGCCTAAGCAGCGCGGATCCAGGTGTAAGGTAGGGGTTCTTACGAACTTCCACCACCGAGCTGCACCGCTGACCCACCACGTGCCGAACGTACGCCTCCGTGGTGAACGCGTCGATGATGCGACTCCAAATCTGCCATGATCACACACCAGATTTGAGTTAATGACGATGTATCGAAAAGCCAGGACTGAAATGGAGTATTAGTGGTGGACGAAACATTTGTATCGGCTACGCTGGGGCCGGATTTTTTATGAGAACAAGCAAACAATCAGGAGATTTTCAGGAACCAGCAGAGACCTTACCACAGATGGGGTCCTCAATGCGTCGCTAAGGCTCTTTAGCGACAGCTTCGGGATAACCAGAACCGGTCTTCCCTGATCAGCTGTGGGGTTCCTTTGCTCCATAGTCTGCAGATTCAGCGTGTAAGATTGACCGTTAGGGTAAACTTTGGACGTGAAAACACCCAGGTTCACTTCCCGAAGGCCCAGGGAGGCCGCCTTGAGGATTGCGCGGGACGTGGCGCGGTCGTACGGCCGCCATTGGTCGTCATCTCGCCAGTAGATGCCGGGAACGTCGGGCTCCGAGCAGGGAAGGAAGTTGATGCACATGATGGCGGCTCCAAACTTCCGTTCAGATTAGGAAAGGATGTTATTCACTATTCTTCCGCTGCTCACAGTGCTTGCGCTGCTTTTTTCGGCGAATGCGTAAGGAGGGAGGGAGAGAGCCTGAGGGTCAAGGCGCATCCTGTCTACGATAGGCGGCATCGCGGAATTTATGGCTGCGATGTGTAGTCGCTGCGCCTGGAGGACACATTTCAACTGGCAGTTACCCCGGACTCCAATCTCAAGTATCTTTAGTAATTTCCTAACTATCACGCAGACCACCTTTTTTTTCTCCCCAATCACGTCTCGACCATTTAATAATCTAACTGTCATTCTGTCAACGCTGACACCCCAGAAAGAGTAGGGTAGTCTTGAATGTGACCCCATCCCCCCTTCCTCCATCCCCTCTGCCTCGATACTCCAAATTCGCTTACCTCGGGAACTCCATTTTTGCATCCAGCCCCCATCCGGAATTCCCTTTTGCCTCGGAGGACATCTGTTCAGCTCACCTCGGGAGCTTTTGATTCACGCCGTCAAGCTCATCGCTTCTACATCAGAACTCCAACTCTTTCTAGCCTATCTCGTTGGCGTGGGAGGCGACCTAGACGCAATGCTGCTGCTCCAATCGCAGATGATACCGGTACGGCCAAGGCTTCCTCATAGCTGGATCGCGACTTGGACAGCCAGCCATTCGTTCGAGGTGCAAGGCAGGTAATGAAACAGGTGGTGCGAGAACACAACGGCGTGAATTAGGCGTGGAAACTGGCGCAGCAGGGCGAGTAGTGCCCATCTGACCATTTGTTATGACCAGCTATAACACCAAATGTTTCTTCACATTCTATAAACAGCCTCGCTCTTAGCTAGAAGCGCAGGAATATGAACAAATAATATGAAGTTGGACTTGGTTCTAATCTTCTCGAGTAGCCCCATGCATCCCACCTCACATTCTGAGTATTTTGCATCTTAGGCAAACCAAGCCTTCAAAACATAGACAAGTGAGGCTCATTCAATTAGGTAGGCTACTGTACAGTCCCACCGTAGATGGACACTGAGCAGCTACAGATATCAAATACAAAACGGCACACAACAAAGCAGACCTACCTATACGGCCAAGGCGATCAGAATCCTCAGTGCAACATATTTACAAAAAAGCACACCAGTGCTCTGCATAAACAGGGTACCTTTCTGTAGTGCAAGCACCCAGCTCAACCAGCAGCAGGAGCAGCAGGGAAAAAACACACAGCCTGGAAGCCTGGGAGACTGGTGAGATAGGCCTTCAATCACTATTGAAGCAGCAATAAGTGGTTGGGCCTCTGCAGGAGGCCCCCAGGAGCATTGTCTTATCAACCACACTCAGCTCAATCAGCAGCAGATGGAGCAGCAACTGAGGGGTTGAGAGCGGTATCAGGCTGTTTCAGTGTCGGTCTCCTGAGGATTCAACACTTGGTGCGGGCCGGCAGGAGGCCCCAGGGAGCATCTGTCCGTGGTGTGGGTCTCCAATGCCTCCTTGATTTTAGCAATCTGAGGTGATTCGTGGATCGGGAAGGTGGGGTGGGAGAGATGGGAGGGAAGGATGATGGGTTTGCAGCTAGTCTTTAGGGAATGAACAAAGGTGTTCTGAGAGTTGTTGTGATAGAGCATAAGCAAGGAGCATGCACCAGGTGTTCTTATAAAGGCGTGAGATTGGCACGAAAGAGTCAAAAGAAATCACAGCATGAAGACAATAAGACAATAAGAAGTGATCACAGCACGAAGACAATAAGAAAAGATCGTTCGTATAGGACTGTTGCACGTTCACTCCAGATGAGGTGAAATGGATAGAATGGGCGCAGTGAACACAGCTGCAAGGCTAACTGAATTCGTGCAACACAGCAGCAGGACTAGGGGCAACCCAGCAAAACACAAGCAGCAGGAGTCTGGACCAAACACAACACCAGTTGTTGTAAAAGGACGACCAATAGGAGGTGTGATGGTTTCAAAGTCCGCCGGGCACAATGTACACAGGTGAGTGTCGGGGAACGCATCTAGCAGCATGTCAGTGCCCCGATAAGTGGAAGAAAGGCAGGCGCTTGATTCCGAGCGACCTACAGAGCTGCTTTTCCAAGTTGGAGTGAGGTGACTTGTGCGTTCATGTCGCTTTTGAGGGGACTTAAAAGGGAGCACACAGCACAACACTGGGGAATGTGTCTAGCAGCCCGTCAGAAGTGGAAGAAGCAGCCGCTTTATCCCAAGCGACAGGCACGGCAGAGCTGCTTGTTTGGGTCGCACTGAGTTGTCGGAAAGAGCAGCCTAGCCTAGTGTACCGAAGTGGGGGTGGCAGTGACGTACCGAGGTGAGTGTTGCAGCGAAGGCGTCTAGAAGGGCGTCAGCACCCCAGTAGAAGTGGAAGAAGGGCAGCCGCTTGATCCCGAGCGACCGGCAGAGCTGCTTGTTGGGGTCGAACTGAGTGACTCTGGAGTAGACTTGAAAAGGGGCACCTCGCACACAGTACCAAACTGAAGGTAGCAGTGACGTACCGAGGTGAGGGTGGCAGGGAAGGCGTCTAGAAGGCCGTCGGCGCCCCGGTAGAAGTGGAAAAAGGGCAGCCGCTTGATCCCGAGCGACCGGCAGAGCTGCTTGTTGGGGTCGAACTCGACTTGCAGGAAAATCACGTCCGGATGCTTCGATGCTAGCATGCACAGCTGAATGGGAGAGAAATGGGAATGGGGGGAAAACGGAGGGAGAGAGGAGGGAACAAGTGGGTGTGCAAGGGAATGCGGAAAGAGCGACTGGCAGAGTTGCTTGTTGGGGTCGAGCTCGACCTACAGGAAGATGACGCCAGGGTGCTTCGACGGCAGCATGCAGAGCTGAAGGGGGAGAAATGGTGGAGCACGAGTAGGGAGAAGTGCGCGGGTGGGTGGCGGGAAAAGAGAGCTGCTTGTTGGGGGGGGGTCAAACTCGACTTGAAGGAAGGTGACGTCAGGGAGCTTAAATGCCAACATGGACAGCTGAAAGGGGAAAAGTGGGAAGGAGAGGGGAGGAGGGCGAGGCGGGGGAAAAGGGGGAGGAGGAGAAGGGGGAGGAGGGGAAGGCGGAAGAGGAGGCGGGGAAGGGGAAGGAGGACGAGGAAGGGGGGGAAACCATTCCTCTGCGCTTTTTTTCCAGCGGGCAAAGAGGCAAAAGGAATCGGCACGCAAAGCTCTTCTCACCTTGGGGTGCATGGGGGATGCATGGGGGACGCATGGCAAGACAATAGTACCTTGGATGACTTCTGAGACGTCGCAGAAGGCGTGGCGCTACAATCATACCTTGGGGTGCATGGCGCGGCACGAGCGGCACCAGGTGCCGAAAAAGTCAACCACCACGAGCTTATTCCCCGCCGCGCCTAACGCCTCCACGAATTCCGCCGTGTTCGCCACGTGTCGCATGTTCGCAGGCACGCGCCGCTCCCACCAGTTTTCGCTGGAAGGAAGCGGAATCTGGTTTCCCGTGCCGACTCCCGCGGGTATCGCTGCGCCGAGCCCCGGCATGGGTTGCGCAAGGGCGCAGCGAACGGTTACCGCTCCCCCGCGCTTGCCTTGTAGCAGATCCGCACTCCGCAGACTGCGCGGCAACGCGCGACGGGAGAGCGGTTGGGCGACGAGGCTAGACGAAAGTCCTCGCCCGCGTGACGAGGCGGAAGCGGCGGCGGAACGGGAAGGAGCGGCGGAGAAGGCGGAAAAGGCGGAATAGGCGGAAGCGGAGGACGGATAAGACGGATGCAGCGCGAGAGGTGGATTGATGGCGGCCATATTGAGTCACTGTAAGCTAGTTGGATTCCGTCCGCGTAAAACGTCAGACGGACAAAAGCCTGAGGATGAAGGCACTCGGATACTGACTGGCGGAGGGTTCACCCAGAAGGCACTCGGATACCGACTGGCGATACTGACTGGCGTCGAGGGATTTAAACGCATTTGGCGGGGATAGTGTCGCGTTGGGTTGAATGCACGCGCCTTTGGGGCACCACTCCGCAACGCGCAGCGTCCTACTTTTCAGGCCCTTGATGTGAACAAGCAGCTAGAAAACTGCAGCAGCATTCCAGCGGCATCCGCATCATGCTGAAGAGAGCCTGGGAAAAGTGCATTTCAACAAGCGCAATCGCGAGCGTGGCCCTCGAGAGAGTGTCACTCTTGGGGAAGCGGCTACACTACACTGGAATCTTGCGCGGCCCCACCGCAGTCCCTCACACACCCTAGCACCGTTTACAAAAAGACCTAAGCGTTCTCAACCCCTCTTAGGGCAACAAGGTGGGTAGACGCCCTGACTTTTGAGGCGGAAGCAGAATGTTTCGAAATCTTGTGGTGGGGAAGGAAAGTGAGGTGAGGAGGAGGACAGAGGAGGCTTGTGTTGATTTCTTCCACGATAGCGCGCCAATTCTAGCAGCCAGATCTGCGGCTGAGCGTGCCGTCATGTCACGTGTGCTGCAAAGGGGAGGGCGCAAACACCCTCTAGCCGAATGGCGTCGCGCGTTGGAGGGTAGTGATTGGCGCAGTCAGTTTTTTCTTCCGAGCCACAGCAGCCCTAGATTGGCGCCTGTAATTCGCTGATGTGGATTGGTGAACGTAGCGATTTTAAAGTCAAGTGCATTCATACGGCATACTGTATCTTGCCAGTTCCTTGTGCTTTGGCGAAACGTGCGGGAAGTGACGAGGCTGTAAAGGCCGCCTGCCCTGCTGGTGCCATGTCAGCACACATCTTTGTTGTGTACACTGCTATAGGATGCCATAAATAACACCAAAGCACTTTCCATATACACTTCTAGGGATTTCCTAGCCAGTTTTCATGCCCGTGAAAAGCATCAAATCACTCGTCATGACATCATCTGGTTCTAAATTTACGATAATAAAGACATACGTCATGCATATAAGTGTGTAGAGGATTTACTGTTACGTGAAATACTGTCAAATTGCACTTCAAATTGCACGCCCATTCTAAATTCCGTATATGAGCATAGTCATTGCTGCTTTACCACTTCTCAGAGCCGTAGGCCTACACACTATCGAGGCATGTCGGCCCTTGCCTGTAATCCCGCGCGTGTCGCGAGAGCACCCTACTGGCGTTCACACGTTCCTGGGTGTTGGCGCCACAACTTCTCCCAGCATCCCGCGCGAAGTCCTCAGAGAACCTATTATTCGCACCTCTTTTTCGCGAGCCACGGTATTAATCTGTAAGATGCTGGTTACTACCAATAGACGAAGCATTTTTGGAGGCTGGGTTCCTAAGCTAAGATAACCAAACTAGACGCGACCTAGCTGCGAGCGTGGCGTCAGTGTTTGCCGAGCCAAGGGTTCAGGTACGAGTGGCCCATTTTGCTGGTCTCGGTGTTTGCACGAGTGAGCCAGCCCTGGTTTGGCTCGGTCAGAGCCTCCGAGGCCTAGAAATTGTCCTGCAGAGATCCGAAGTCAACTTGGCACAACACCCGGCACTTTTTTCTCCTAAACTTTGGGCTTTATCACTCACCTGTCACAGAACAGAAGCCTGACAGAACCATAGGCATGTTGTGCATCCCTCGTGGTGGCTTCAGCAACATGTTTATGTTCAGCCGTAATGAAAGGCCGTAGTTATTCAATGAAGTCGAAATAGGTTATTGATACCTGAGCGGGCTAGGAGTTACGGGCGATCAGGAAAGTTTATGACTACTTAGCGAGTTTCAATTCCACTACACATACCGCCACTTTGACGTGCTCGTTACTTCGTTAGCTCTCCTATCGACGCTGAGGCACCAGATTAGAGTCGTGCAGTGATTTCAACATCCAATTTTACTTCGTAAATAGTCGTAGTTTTCTGTCCGAAACATCAGCTAAAGATCATAGTCTTTTTTTCTCTCCACAGCAGCAGAGAGTCTCAGGATTTTCGCCGACCAATAGCAACACAGTGCTGGCCGTACTGCTTTACCGGACGTACGCCTGACCGAGCAGCAGGCGTGACGTTTGTTGAAGGTTGTTCTCTGAGCATATCCCACGAGCCAAGGCGGAGGAGGCAGACGGGAACGCTGCAGACGGAAAAGCCGATCATTTGTCACAAAGTCTATTCTGAAGACCAGTACCCGAAGATGCTGCTATCAGAGATGTCGCTTGTCTCAGGACCTAATCGGCTTTCCGGTTTGTCAACCAGAAGCGTTAACAACCGTCCGATAGTCCCATCATGCAAGATTGTTCCATCATGAAAGCTATCGTGGTGGTGGACACCCACAGACGACGTATCTAATCTTATACCTTTTCCTCCCAATTGCGTTAATAGCGTAGCGACCATCTCATCATCATGAAGGCCATTGTGGTGGCCGGAACGCACAGCGGTGTGGGCAAGACGAGCGTCGCTGTGGGGCTCATGGCCGCCTTCCGCAGGCGAGGTCTCCGCGTGCAGCCGTTCAAAGTTGGACCCGGTGCGAAAAGATACATTACGATACGACACGTTACGATACGATGCTCTGTTGGTCCACCAGACATTTTTTTTCTTCCCGTTTCCGACTCTTGAGGTTCCTGGATGACTGATGCTGGCTTGGGACGACTTCGGTTTGGTCTTTGAGCATAGCTGTGGTGCAGAGTTGTCAGCAATGGTATCTAGTCCTGATCTTTGTATCATATCCGAATGTCGCATGTTTGATATGACATGTCGTATGTGGGGTGTTCTACGTGGCATGTTGTGTGTGACATGTTGTATGTGGGAAGTGGTAGCATGTTTTATCTGGCATGGTGTGTGTGGCATGTCATTCGTGAATGTTCTGTGGTATGTTCTGTCATTTGTGAATGTTCTGTCATATGTGGAATGTCATACTTGGCATGTTGTATGTGGCATGCTCCATGTGACACGCTGCACGGGGCATCTTGGATGTGCCATGTCATGTGGGATGCGTGTGGCAGATTTTCTGGACCCCATGCACCATCAGGCGGCTACAGGGCGAGACTCGTACAACCTGGATGGGTGGATGCTCAACAGGTATGGCTTTATCGTGCGGATGAGTGGATGGGTGATTGGGTGCATGGTTGAAGGGTGGGTTGATGGATGGGTGGGTGATGGTTGGATGGACTGTCGAACTATTTGGATGGGAGGATTGTTGGGAGGATGGATGGCTTTGGGACAGATGGATGAATGGTGGTTGGATGGGTGCATTGGTGATTGGATGGGTGGACGGACGTGTGGATGGGTGGACGGACGTGTGGATGGGTGAGTGAATGGATGTGCAGCAGCCTTCCATTGGTTCTACTCAGTTTTTCCCCTTTCCTCCTGTTGCCCCCCATCCCCATATCCACCTCCCCCTTGTTCTCCCTGTCTCCTTCCTCACGTTCCCCTCTTCCCTCCTTACCCTCTCTCCCTCCCCCCCCCTCTCTTCTCCCCACCCGCCCCCGCGCATCTCACCAGGGAGGCCAATGTGGCATGTTTCACTCGCTTTGCAGCCTCCACTGACGTGGCAGTAGTGGAGGGCGTGATGGGGCTATTCGACGGTCGAGATGGCAAGACAGAGGTCGGCAGCACAGCAGAGATGGCCAAGATCATAGGAGCCCCGGTTGTCCTCGTTTTAGACTGCTGGTCTATGTCTAGAAGCGCTGCGGCCATGGTGCACGGTTACGCGTCCTTCGACCCGTCATTGCGGTTTGCGGGGATTATTTTGAATAAGGTTGCCAGCGCAGCACATGCCACGTGGTTGACTGAGGCGCTAGAATCAGCACACGTCAGAGTTCCCGTCCTAGGTGGCATCCCGAAATCTGCTGACGTGGAGATGCCAGAGCGCCACCTGGGACTGCACCGGCCGGGGGTGGAAGCGGACGGGGTGCCAGCTCAGCACGCCGAGCGGCTGGCGATGCTGATTGAAGCCCACGTGGACCTGGACAGGCTGTTACAGCTCGCAGCTGACGTGGCAGGGGCGCCGACGATGGGGCTTGGGGGAGGGGAGGGAAGTGTGTGCGGGGGGGAGGATGTTGAGGGGAGTGTGGTGGGTGGAGGAGGGAGTGTGGTGAGTGGGATGGGAGGAGTGGGAGGGGGAGAGTATGGTGGATCGTCGGCCAATGAGCTGCCGCCATTGTCGATGCCGCCCGGCATGAAGCTTGCTCGCATTGGAGTGGCGAGAGACGAAGCCTTTTGTTTCTACTACCATGACAATTTGTCGCTTCTGAGAGGTAAGTATGGTACCTGCACACCACCTCGACTCAGTTTACTTTGGAACCAATACCCTGAGCTGCACACTACTGCTATGGCTGCTCTGGCTTGGCTTGCATATTCCCAATCGCCCTTGCGCCATCTCCTTCCCCTCTGTTCTCAATGCTGTTCTGTCCCACACCACCAGAGGCGGGAGCAGAGATTGTCTTTTTCTCCCCTTTGGCCGACCCCCTCCCACACCGCCTTGACGCGGTCTACTTTGGAGGGGGCTACCCCGAGCTGCACGTGGCTGCTCTGGCTGCTCTGGCTTGGCTGCATGCTCTCAGTCACCCTGTTTTCGTGACTGTTTTGTCCCACCCCACACTACCAGAGGCGGGAGCAGAGATTGTCTTCTTTTCGCCGCTTACCGACCCCATGCCACACCGCCTTGACGCGGTCTACTTTGGAGGGGGCTACCCCGAGCTGCACGCGGCTGCTCTGGCTGCCAACACCAAGCTGGTGTATGCGCTGCGGGCGTTTGCTGCTGCTGGCGGGGTGGTGTATGGCGAGTGTGGCGGGCTCATGTACCTGTCGAGGAGTATCGAGGTGAGAAAGAGACGTGCGATTGCTTATATGTACCTGCTTCTTAGGTGCCCCCTTTGTCATGAGCCCTCTTTGTGGTTCGCCTCTCCTACCCCTTTTCCTTCCTCCCTTCCTCCCCTCCCCTTTTCTCGCTTGCTTGCAGACGAAGGAGGGCGAGGTGCACGAGATGTGTGGGCTGCATTTGAGAATTCTCAGCCCCCTCTCTCCCTCCCTGCTCTCCTGCCTTCTCTCCCTTTCCCCCCGCCCTCCCTCCCCTCCCCTTTTCTCGCTTGCTTGCAGACGAAGGAGGGTGAGGTGCACGAGATGTGTGGGCTGCTGCCGTTTCGCACGCGCATGGTCTCTACCCTCAAGCTTGCCTACTGCACGGTGAGTTGCCTACCCACTATGGGGACACTGACCCAGTTTTCAAAACGAGATGTGTGGTTTGTTGCCCTTTGTTGCCCTTCCATATGTGCATGGCCTCTCTCTACCCTCAAGCTCGCCTACTGCACATGGTGAGCTCTCTACTCGCGCTAGGGTGAGGCAAGGGGTTAAGGAGGGTGAGATGCTTGCGGCCCCCTGCTGTCCATACGTGCATGGTCCCTACCCTCAATCTCGCTGACTGCACGGTGAGTTGTCGAGGCGAACTCACCTGTATGGCGAAGTTGTTTGTGAGACTTGCCCGCTGCCCACTGCCCACTGCCCGCTGCAAGGTGAGGTGCGTCCGCTGCCATACCCCCATTCTCCCATTCCCTCATCCTCCCACCCCCCCCTTCCCCACCATGTGTTTTCTCCCTGGTGCGACCCCAGCCCAACTGTGTGCTGTTTCCAGCAAAGTTGGGCGAGATGAGAGGGCAGTTCTTCCACTTCAGCGAGGTGGTTCTGGATGACGGCTCATTCCTTTACCCAACCAAACCCCTCTTTTTCCTCCCTTGCCCCACCCTCTCTTGGTCTTCCCTCTTCGTTACCAGGTGCGTCCCCAGCCCAACTGTTTGCTGTTTCCAGCAAAGTTGGGCGAGATGAGAGGGCAGTTCTTCCACTTCAGCGAGGTCATGCTGGATGCCTCTCCCTCCAAGATATGATAGTTCCTTACCGCACCCCATCCACCCGATTTCTCCCCCACTGTTATTCTCTTGCCCCTCCATTTCCCCATTCCTGTTACCAGGTGCGTCCCCAGCCCAACCGTGTGTTGTTTCCGGGCGAGCTGGGGTAGCTGAGAGGGCAGTTCTTCCACTTCAGCGAGGTTGTGCTGGATGACACTCCCCCCTCCTTTACCTAACCTAGCCCCTCCTTCTCCTTTGCCCCCACCCTCTCTTAGTCTCCTCTCTTCTCCCAGGTGCGACCCCAGCCCAACTGTTTGCTGTTTCCAGCGGAGTTGGGCGAGATGAGAGGCCAGTTCTTCCACTTCAGCGAGGTTCTGCTGGATGCCTCGTCCTCCATGATATGACAGTTCCTTCCCCCACCCCATCCACCCGATTTCTCCCCCTCTGTTTTTCTCTTGCCCCTCCATTCCCCCATTCCTGCTCCCAGGTGCGTCCCCAGCCCAACTGTGTGCTGTTTCCGGCCGAGCTGGGCGAGCTGAGAGGGCAGTTCTTCCACTTCAGTGAGGTCGTGCTGGACGATGGCTCGTTCCATGGCGACCAGCTGGAGTTCGGGTGAGTGGGAAGGGGTCTGGTTTGGTGCCGTACGGTATGTATGAGGTGAGCTGGTTTGCTGCAGCTGGGCGAGCTGAGAGGGCAGTTATTCCACTTCCGCGAGGTGGTTCTGGATGTCGGCTCGTTTCATGGCGATCAGCTGGAGTTTGGGCAAGCAGGGGTGCTCAGGGGTGTTGAGTGGTACGAGGTGAGCTGGTTCGGTGCAGCATGGCAGGAGGTTGTGGTGGATGACGGCTCGTCTCATGGCGACCAGCTGGAATTCGGTTGATAAGGGGTGCTTAGGGTTGTTGTATGATCAGAGATTAGCTGGTTTCGGTGTGTATCGAGCTGACTAAAACACATTGGGGTGTTGTACGGTCTGCGATTAGGGTGCAGCATGGAGTTCCATGGCGGCCATTATGGTCTGCGATTAGATGGTTCAGGTGCAGCATGGAGAGGTGGGGTTGGGTGACGGTTTGTTCCATGGCGGCCATTATGGTCTGCGATTAGATGGTTCAGGTGCAGCATGGAGAGGTGGGGTTGGGTGACGGTTTGTTCCATGGCGGCCATTATGGTCTGCGATTAGATGGTTCAGGTGCAGCATGGAGAGGTGGGGTTGGGTGACGGTTTGTTCCATGGCGGCCATTATGGTCTGCGATTAGATGGTTCAGGTGCAGCATGGAGAGGTGGGGTTGGGTGACGGTTTGTTCCATGGCGGCCATTATGGTCTGCGATTAGATGGTTCAGGTGCAGCATGGAGAGGTGGGGTTGGGTGACGGTTTGTTCCATGGCGGCCATTATGGTCTGCGATTAGATGGTTCAGGTGCAGCATGGAGAGGTGGGGTTGGGTGACGGTTTGTTCCATGGCGGCCATTATGGTCTGCGATTAGGTGGTTCAGGTGCAGCATGGAGAGGTGGGGTTGGGTGACGGTTTGTTCCATGGCGGCCATTATGGTTTGCGATTAGATGGTTCAGGTGCAGCATGGAGAGGTGGGGTTGGGTGACGGTTTGTTCCATGGCGGCCAGCTGGAGTTCGGGTGAAAGTCTCGTTTTGGGATGGGGCGTTATAGTGGGGAGTTTTGTTATGATGGCGAGTGATGTGATGGTGCGATAGGCATGGTTACTTTTGAGACGTCTCAGAAGTTGTTATGATGGCGACTGATGGTGTGATAGGCATGGTTACTGGCCTGGGGATGCATGCGAATGATGCTGCAGCATGGCAAGAGAGGTTGTGCTGGATAACAGCTCGTTTTATCACGACCTCCCTGCATTCCCCACCCCTCCCCAGGTACCTGATCGAGCAGCAGACCCCCGGTGCCACCTCCCGCCCAGAGGGCTACATGTCGGGGGCAGTGCTAGCGTCCTACGTGCATCTGCACTTCGGATCCAACCCCTCCCTCCCCCACGCCTTCATAGACGCGTGCCGAACCGACCCTACAAAATCCGCAGCTGTCGCCGCTGCCTCTGCCTCGGCAGTGGCAGGAGCAGGGGCGGCAGCGGCGGCAGCAGCGGGAGCTGCAGCTGCTGCGGCGGTGGCAGATGCATTGAATGAAGACGATAGGTTATCGCAGCGATCGGTCTCGTATAATGTGTACTCATCCCCGGTACATCCGAGTCAGCTGGGGTTGCATCAGCAGCATCAGCAGCAGCAGCAGCATCAGGGTCCTGGCTGTGCTCCCTCTTCTGTGTCTTCTGTTCAGTCAGGGAGTTTGTGTCGAAGGAGGAGTGAGAGCGGAGGGAGGTGGGATGCAAGGGGGTTTGATGCTGGTGGTGGGGTGTCGCCCCCTCATTATATCGAGACGTATGGGAGGGGAGGAGGTGGAGGAGGGGGCGCAAGGGGGGGTATTGGTGGGCCAGGTGGGATGTATTACGGTGGGGGGGTTTCGCCGCCTCATTATATGGAATCATACGGGCAAGGAAGAGGGGGAGGAGGAGGGGGAGAGGCAGGGGCAGGATATGGGGGTATTGGAGGGAGAGTGCATGATCCGAGGTGGCAGTGGCATGAGGATATTATCCCCAGGGCTCATTCTGGTACTGTTCCTGGTTCTTCAGGTGTTTTCTCAGGTGCTTTCTCAGGTGCCCCATCAGGTGTTTCACCTGAGCACGATGATCCCACCGAAGCTGACCTCCAGGCTCGGCGTATGGGCGCCCGCGAGGCAGAGGACCGGTCCTCACGTTCGGAATCGTACGTGATTGGAGAGCGCGTAGGCGGCAGCGTCGTCCCATATGCCATGTTTCCGGGCGGCAGCGCCATTGGCAGTGCTGTGGCGAGAGCATACGGCGGGCAATCAAATCACAGAGGATATGGATATGAGCCGGGCACGGGCGGCGGAAGTGGGGGAAGAACGGGCAGCAGCGGAGGAGGTGGGGCGCGGGGAGGAGTTGACTGGGCTCGATACGAGCTGTCCCCTCCCCTGCCTTACCAATCCACAGGTTATTCCAGGGAGGGGAATGGCAGTCAAGGGATTGGGGGGCCGGGGTTTATTCCCTCTCCCATGCGGAGATCTATTTCTGAATTGTGGGTGTCTGGGGGTGGGAGTGGTGGGCTAGAGGAGTTGAGTCTGGGCGGAGGGCAAGGGGTGCCTGGGCAAGGGGGAAGAGGAGGAGGGGGAGGGGGGGGCGGAGCAGGGGGAGTAAGAGGAGGAGCGAGAGGAGGGGGAGATGGGGGAGCGGGTGGGTATGTGGGGGCAGGAAGGAGAGACAGTGGGAGTAGGGGGAAAGTCGTGGGAGGAGGAACTGGGGCAGGAGGGGTAGGAGCAGCGGGCGAGGGAGGGGGGAGAGGTGGAGGTGGAGGGTCTGGTAACAGAGGTGGCGGGGGTGGTTCAGTGGCGGGGAGATCAGGAAGTGGAGGAGGAAGTGGTGGTGGTAGCTCAACCTCAGATCCCTCTGCACACCTCTCCACCGCTGCCAACCCCTCTTCAGCAGGTGCCTCTGCAACAGACGGGCGCAGCTATGCTGAGGGCCGAAGCTATGCGGACTCCGGTTCGGCTTCGGATTACGATGAGATGAATGCGAGTGACTTACGAAGCTCTTCTGAGTTCGATGAGGGGCTGACGTCTAGTGGTCGGCTGTCGGATTTTGTGGGGAGCAACAGCGGGAGGAGCGTAGAGCAGATTTATGAGACGGGGGGAGGGGGAGGGGGCGGGGGTGGAACGATTTTTGAGTCGACTCAAAAATCGACTCATCACACGAGCAACAGCCGGAGGAGCGTGGAGCAGATTTATGAGACGGGGGGAGGGGGGGGGTGGGGGAGGAGGGTGAAGGGGCCTTCTAGTGGGAAAATGGTGGATTTTGTGAGTGCAGGTGTAGGGGTTTTGGGAGAAGGAGGAGGAGGAGGAGGGGGAGGAGGAGGAGGCGGACGGGGAGGAGGGTCAGCTGGTGGTTCTCTCAAGAATTTATCGGCTGGATCGATGAGGGAACTGGCTGCTGCTGCTGCTGGGGCTGCTGCCCAGGCAGAGGCGACTGGGCATGCCAGAAGTGGAAATGTTGCCAAAAATGGAAATGGTGCCAAAAGTGGGAGTGCAAGCTGGAGCGGTTCGGGCCGTGTGGCGTGGGTGGGAGAGAAGCGTGGGGAGGGAGAGAAGGGAGAGGAGAGAGGGCAGATGGAGAATGGGGGGTGGCGGGACACCGTAGGGGGTGGTTCAAGATATTTCGAAGCAAGAGATACAGTTGAGGGGTTTCAAGAGGTAGGGGCAGAGGAGCGAAGGGAGGTGAGTTGGGACGAGGAGGAGGAGGAGGAAGAAGAGGAGGAGGATGAGGTGGGGAAGGGGCAGGAGGAGGAAAGAGAAGCGCCTAGGACAATGCGTCTGGATCCTCGTTTGGTTGAGGAGGTGAGGGAGAGAGAGATGGAGAGGCAAAGGGAGAGGCAGGGGCAGGAGGAAACGGTGGGGAACGAGCAGAAAGGGCAGAATGGGCAGCAGCAGCAGGTGCAGCAGCAGCAGCTAGGGGTGGATGGGCAGACAGGGAGGTATACCCATGAGGATCAAATGCAGCAGTGGCAGCAGCAGAAGCATCTGAAGCAGCTACAGCAGCAGCAGCAGCAGCAGCAGCAGCAGCAGCATGCTCGGAAGCACTCCGATGGAAACGAAGTTTCCAGTGCTGCAGATGGGAGGGTTGCCAAGAGTGGCAGCAGCAGCAGAAGCAGTGGCAATGGGGACGGGTTCCGTTCCCTGCCCACCCAGCTGTACCGCACTCTGCTCCGTGACACCCATCTGCACCAGTCTCATCTCCAGGACGCCCACATCCAGAAGAGCTTCACTGGGTCTGCTGCTGCCTTTGCTGCTGCTAAATCTGGTTCCGCTGCTGCTAGTGCTGGTGGTGCTGCTGCTAGTGCTGCAGCTAGTGCTGCTACTGCTGATGCTGCTGGCCGTGGTGGTGCTGGTGTAAGCGTGACAGTTAGCAGGAGCGCGAGTGGGAGGCTCTATAGCGAGAATGAAGATTCTTCTAATCAATCAAGAGTGGTCAGAATAGCTGGAGCAGCAGTAGGAACAGTGGCAGGAGGGGCAGAAGGAACAGGAAAAGGAGCGATGGCAGATGAAGTGGTAGGAGCAGGAGATGCAGGAAGAGAGGCAGGAGCAGCAGAGATGTCGCAATCTGCTGTGGATCCAGCAGAAGTTGACATTCTAGGGCAAGAGACAGGGATTCAGCGGGGGGGAGGAGGCGGAGGTGGAATGGGATCAGGGGAAGGGATAGTGGGGAGAGGGGGAATGAGGTCGGCTGATGGGACTCCAACAAAGACTGCTAGTGCGCCGCTCCTTACAGGCCTGCCCTTTACAAGCACTCGTGATGCTGCTGCTGGTGCTGGTGGTGCTTCTGCCGCTGTTGCTGGTGCTACTGCTGCTGCTGGTGGTCCTAGGGGGGGAATGGGAGGGGGCGGAGTGAGTGGAGGGGCAGCTTTGTCAGCACATGGGAGCTATGGGCACATGTCTGGGCTTGCCCCTCAGGCCGCAATGTCCGCCCATGCCACTCACAGCGCCCATGCCACACACCCGGGCATTCTTCCCTGAATCCTCACACCCCGTCCCATCCTCACTCCTCCATGCATCCTCCTCCTCCTCCTCAGCATCCCCATCCCTCTCACTATCCTCCCCAACACCCCCCTTCCCATCATCCTCAGCATCAGCAGCAGCTGCATCATCATGATAATCACAATCATCAGCAGCAGTACCAGCAGCAGCAGCAGCATTATCCTCTGTACTCTCAACCCATCCCTCCTCTCAGCACTCCCTTCCCTGGACCTCCCCTCTCAGCAGCTGTTACTGGGGTTCACGCCACCCCTCTTTCTACTTCAGATCTACCCGAGTTCAACTCTCCTCCCGAACCTGCTTCCAAGGCAGCAGCCGAAGCTGCGGCCGAAGCTGCAGGCCGGGCTGCTCAAGCTTTTCAGGCTGCCCGCTTGGGACCAGACGCAGAGCCTGAGACGGACGCTTTCTTTGATTCCTGCCCGAACTTTGAATCCCCAAAACTGAAATTCCACACTCCCCCATCTGACGTAAATGCCCCTCTACTCAATTCAGACTCCCTCACTCTCTCAGACCCTCACGCTCTTCCCACTCCCCCCACACACTCTCATTCCCACACTCCCCCTGCCCCCTCCACCCACTCTGGCATGCATTCCTTCTCAGAGTCTCACAGTCTCTCCCACTTCCACACTCACTCTGACCCTCACACCTCCTACCCCCACGCTCACCCTCACATTTTCTCAGACCCCCACACTCACTTCTCCCCTTCTGAAGATTTTTCCTTTGGCACGAGGAGGCGATTAGACCTAGGCCAAGGGAACGATGGGGGGGGATGGGGAGAAGGGTTTGGGGTCGGGGAAAGCAGGGGAAGGATAGGGGATGAGGGGCCGCAGGGGGGGATGCAGCAGGGAGAGCAGCAGCGGCAGAGGCTGGGGGAAGGGCAGATGCAGGGGCTGGGGCAGGGGCAGGGGCAGGTGCAGGGGCAGGGGCAGGGGCAGGGGCAGGGGCAGGGGCAGGGGCAGGGGCAGGGGCAGGGGCAGGGGCAGGGGCAGGGGCAGGGGCAGGGGCAGGGGCAGGGGCAGGGGCAGGGGCAGGGGCAGGGGCAGGGGCAGGGGCAGGGGCAGGGGCAGGGGCAGGGGCAGGGGCAGGGGCAGGGGCAGGGGCAGGGGCAGGGGCAGGGGCAGGGGCAGGGGCAGGGGCAGGGTCAAGGGCAGGAACAGGGGCAATGGCTTCAGCAGCAGCAGCAACAGCAACAGCAGCAGCAGCAACAGCAGCAGCAGCAACAGCAGCAGCAGAAGCAGCAGCAGAAGCAGGGGAAGGAGCAAGGGGACAGAGGGAGCTTGATAACCGCAGGTCAAGCCAGTCTGGCTGTGGCAGATACGGTGGAGGGTTGGATGCGGTGTAGGGGGGTGGAGACGGGTGCTGGTGTGACAGTAGGGAGTTATGGGCTGACTGCAGCAGCTGGAATGGCAGGTCTTATTTCAGGTGGAATGTCAGGTAGAATGGCAACAGAGGGACGGCAGGTGGGAGGGAAGAGCAGAAAGCTTCGTGTGGTGTCACTGTCACCTTCAGCAACTAATATCATTGTGGCACTCAGTAAGTGTTAGTGAGGTGTGGAGTGGTGTGGGTGTGGTGCGGGGTGGTGTAGTGTGGTGTGTTGTTGATCAAGTTTGATATGGAAGCCCCTTTTGCCACTCCCCGTTTGTCACCTGCTTCGTGGTGTTTTTTTTTTTTTTTTTTTTTTTTTTTTTTTTTTTTTTTCTTTCTTTCTTTCTTTTTTTCTCTCGTCCTGCTTTTCAGGAGCAACAGAGCAGCTGATTGGTGTGTCGGACCAGTGCCGCCCATCCAGCTCCCTGCCACACCCATGCCACGTGGTATGCTGACATCAGCCTGTACTGTGATGCAGCCTTGCCATGCTGCCATGCCATGTGTCGCCATGCCACACTGCCATGTGTCGCCATGCCACACTGCCATGTGTTACCATGTTGTACCATGCTTCTGTTGAGATCGTGTTGGTGATTCTATGATGCATGTCATATTGTGCTTTGTCATTATGTGACATAATATTATTTGACATATAATATTTCACTTGGCTTCATTCCTTCTGTCTCCTTGTTCCCCTCCTCCTCTTCTCTCCTCTCCTCTTCTCTCCTCTCCTGTCTTTGCAAGCAGGTGCTTCGCTGCCCTGCTGTCACCAAAGCGTCTTCCAAGGTGTGTCTGCACCTTTCTCTTCGCATGTCTCCCTTTCCATGCTTGTTCTAGTTGACTTGAACCCCTGTCACTTCACTTCCCTTGTCCCAAGTGGATAGTGCCTTAGCAATCATGTGCTTTGCTGCTCTGCTGCTGCGAGGAAGGCGTCTTCCCAATTGTTTTTTTTCTCTTCGCATCCCTTTGCATTCCTGTGCATGCTCCTTGTGTAATTTTTTCAACTTTAAAGTTTCTCTTGCCCTACAAGGCGCTCAGGTGTCATTTCCCTCTCTCTCCCCCTCCATCCCGTTCTCCCTCCTAACGTCCTTCCCTCCCCCCTCCCTTCAATACCTGTTGTTAGGCCCAAGCGCCCTCCTGTGTGCTGGATTCGGAGTGGTTGAGATCGGTGCAGCCAGATGTGGTGCTCTTGGGGGGCTCCACGGCTTGCCTGCGTTGCGACCTGCACTGGCAGGAAGGAAGCACATTGCCCACCGCTTCTGCTGCTGCTACTGCTGCTGCTGCTACTGCTGCTACTGCTGCTGCTGCTGCTACTGCTGCTGCTGCTGCTACTGCTGCTGCCGCTGCTGATTCTGTTAGTGATTCTGCTAGTGCTGCTGGTGTTTCTGGTGCTGCTGCGGCTGATGGTGCTGCTGCGGCTGCTGGTGCTGCTGCTGCTGGTGCTGGAGGGTCAGGAGGATCAGGAGTGGTAGAAAAGGGAAGGCATTGTGACAGCCGTACCTTGGCTGCAGAGGTTCGGAGAAGCCTCGGTGAATCAGGCTCGGGAGAAGGCGGCACGTCAGTTGTTACGCTCCGTCCTGCCACAGTAAGTTCCAAACTCATAGGGCAGCTTGGTTGCTGGCACTATTGAGAATTCCCATGTCAGCTGGGCAAATTCATTCCAACTCATCAGAGCAGGCCGAAGATCCCTTCTCTCTGTAGTGGCTCTCTGTCCTTCATTCATGGTGATTCAGGCTTGGGAGAAGGCGGCACATCGATCGTTACTCTTTCGTCCTGCCACAGTGACTTCCCAACCCAACTCGTTGGGCAACTTGGATAGTGACACTGTAAACCTTTTCCTATCCCCCCAATAAGCCTCATCCTGTGTGGTTACGTGCCTCTCTCTTCCACCCCACCAGCTCTCCCACATGCTTGAGTCGGTGGTGGTGACTTCGGGGGCAGCTCTGGGTCTGCAGCTGCCAGCCCAGGCCTACCTTTTATACCCCTCTCTTTCTTCTCTTACATGCCTCTCACCCTCCCCCTTCCCATCCCACCAGCTCTCCCAGGTGCTAGAGTCGGTGGTTACTGTGGGGGCAGCTCTGGGTCTGCAGCGGCCAGCCCAGGCCTACCTTTTATAACCCTCTATGTCGTCTCTTACATGCCTCTCACCCTCCCCCTCCCACACCACCAGCTCTCCCAGGTGCTAGAGTCGGTGGTTACTGTGGGGGCAGCTCTGGGTCTGCAGCAGCCAGCCCAGGCCTTTTGTAGCCCTGTCTTTCTCTCTTACTTGTCTGCCACCCCTTCCCCATTCCACCAGCTCGCCCAGGTGCTAGAGTCAGTGGTAACAGTGGGGGCAGCCCTGGGTCTGCACCAACCCAGCCCAGGCCCTCTCCTTCATAACCCTCTCTCTATTCCCTTACCTTCCTCTCACCCTCTCCCCATCTCACCAGCTCTCACAGGTGCTGGAATCAGTAGTGACGGTGGGGGCAGCACTGGGTCTGCACCAGCCAGCCCAGGCCCTCTCCTTCATAACCCTCTCTCTATTCCCTTACCTTCCTCTCACCCTCTCCCCATCTCACCAGCTCTCACAGGTGCTTGAATCAGTAGTGACGGTGGGGGCAGCGCTGGGTCTGCACCAGCCAGCCCAGGCCCTCTCCTCCCACCTCCACCTGCGTCTCCGCTCCCTCGCTGCCGCCCTTGCCACCGCCCCCCGCCCCCGCGTCACCTCCCTGGAATCTATCTCCCCCCTGGTCATGGCCGGGCATTGGCTGCCCGAGATGAAAGTTTTGGCCGGGGCAGACGATGGTGGGCTGCAGGAGCCGGGCAGCCCGGTGCGGAAAGTTTTGTGGGAGAGCATTACGGCGTTTGGGCCGCAGGTGTTGTTTCTGACGCCGTGTGCTGCTGATGTGAAGACTGCTCTCGCTCAGGTGAGGGTGGAAGGAGGAAAGGGGTGAGGGAGTAGGGATGAGGGTAAGGTAGAGAGTAAGGGGTGAAACGTTCTGACGCCGTGTGCTGCTGATGTGAAGACTGCTCTCGCTCAGGTATTTGGATTGGGGAAAGGGGAGTTACGTGATAGAGCATTACGGCGTTTGGGCCGCAGGTGTTGTTTCTGACGCCGTGTGCTGCTGATGTGAAGACTGCTCTCGCGCAGGTGAGGGTGGACATAGTGAGGTGTGATGGGCAGGGGTATGGGGTTAGGGTGTGGGGTGAGGGGTGAAGGGTATAGGGTTCGGATAATGGACTTGAAAGACCACATGGCTGTGTTGTGGGGGAGAGATCACCTCTCGCTTTTGTAATTACAATCTTTTTTCGCATGCCCCCCCATGTCCTGTTCTTTTCACAGGTTGAGGCGCTTGCTCGCCTGCCCGGCTTTTGGTCGCTGCCCGCAACTGAATCTGGGCAGGTTTACATTATCGAGTCATGTCTCTTCCTTAACGCAGGTCCACGATTGGTAGATGGTGTTGAGTTGCTAGCCAGAATTATTCATCCTGACCGAGTAGCTGTGCCCTTGCCGCCCGGATGCTTCGTCTTGAAGCTGGAACTTAGTAGGGAGAAACACTACCGAGCAGGGGACGTTCATAAACATTTTAGGCCCCTTTTATAAACTTAGGCAGGCTTGTTTTGCAGTGGTGTAGCTATAGAACGTAGCCAAGTAGATTGTGTAGGTTTTGTGTAGTAACCGTTTGTAGAACATTAAGCTCAAGCTACAAACAAAGCTTACAGTGGAAGCTCTTAGCTCATTTTTTAGTACCTTATTCATGTTAGGTGCCCAAGATAAGTTTTAGTGGCCAACTCTTTCTACTTGCTGCCTCACGAAGGGTAACAGTTTCGTCAAAGCCCTGATTATTCTGAGCCACGTGTCGTGGAATTTCAGGCTCACCCACTTCTCCGGTACAGCTCCAGCGATTTGTGGATATGGGTTTTGCGGAAATAGGTGGCGAGTAAAACCCGCCTCACTAACTTATGATGAGGTGGACGGATGATGAGGTGGACGGATGAGGTGATCCATCGCCTCACAAACCATGTATTGTACTGTAGTCCATATCCCAAAACTTCATGTGATATCCGAAAGCAATCATTCTTTCCGAATGTGACGCCCTATGGTTCGATAAGATTCTGCATTCCCATCAAACTGAACATGCAGCCTTGAAATGATCTCTTTTCTCGTCATGTCTGTCGATCTGCTTGTTTTCTGTAGGTCATTCACCCCAGAACGTAGTCGTCCTCTTTCTCCAAAGAAGCTGGTTGACTTGGAGAAAGGAAAACGAAGAAAAGGAGTGCTATTGTGGTACGTGAATTTCCCCCCAGTTTAGCAGAATTTACTGGTTAAGAACTTCCAGTCGAAGTGGTGACCAGAAGACCCCTGTGAAGAAGGTTGAGAATGAGATCAGGGGTGTCGTCAAGTACTTCGCCGATTTTCGAGTTTATTTTTTGTTTTTTTCGAGGAGGCGTGAGATTTGTTAGTAATCCCAAATATTACAATGTAACAAAACTAAGCAAATGACGGGAAAATGACGGGAGTACACGAAGGGACAAAGAATCGCAGACAGGGTTCCGCCACTATCGAACTCGGCCAAGGCAGTGTGTTACGGAATCTGAAAACTGAAATTAAAGGGTGATTCGTGGCCGGATGGTGGCAGGGTGGTACAGCAATCGAATCCAGTATTTAGAGGCTGGTCACAAAACAACACCCTAAAGAACAGGCTATTCAGAATCAAACGCTCTGTAATCCTGAGGCCTGAACGAGATCCCCTCCCCTCCTGATCTTCCAGATCACCATCCATCTTTTTCGTTGTCGTTGTACACACCATCATTCTCGATATATTGGCAACTGGTATTTATAGAAGCACGCTTAGTGTGACCGCAGCTGACCAAGAAGGTCCTATCACATGCGTTATAGTGACAATTTGACCCAAGGCATTTAGTCAACGTTTTATACGTTTTAGAATGGTACCGTTGTTTTCAAGGTTTCTTTGGCAGTCCCAGCCAAAGCAAGAGAGGTACTGTTGAGGCTGCACAGCCACAACTTGCATGTGGGCACCATGCTGGCTTTCTTCGGCTCCCGTGCATGCTGCCCATACTGCAAGCAGGAGGAATCACCTACGTACTATTTGATGAGTTGCTCAGTGGTTAAAGGGATCTGTGGCGCACTTCAAGACTCGCTTCGATTGATCAATCCAACGAGGATGGTGGGAACACTTGGCGAGCTGTTATTTGCTGCGGACAGCACTGCCTCTGGTTTCCCTGAATCCACACTCATCGCGATCACATTCAGACACATATGGCTGGAGAGGTGTGACGCGGTCTTCAGGGAGAAAAGTTTTGAACCCAGACGCGTGGCCAGGAAGATAGGAGCGAACTTCAGAAGGCATGTGCGGATCTACAGCGAAGGGTGTGGGAGCAAAGGTGGACAGCAAAGAGGGGGAACGGGAGGAGATTGGCCCAACCTGAGAGCTGGAGAAGCGGTGGCACTGAGCTGCATTTGTGACCAAGATGAGAATCCGACGTGGAACTAGGCTTTCAACTCGATTTGGGAGAGACCCAGTACCTTTTATAAGCCGCCGTAAAGGGCTTATAGGGAGGGCAGTGTAAACCTCATTAGGTAGACCTGCGCTCTCCCCTCCTCCCAGTTAAGATTGTGGATGTAGTGCATTGTATAGTGTATTATGTCCAAAAAAAAAGTTTCTTGGCTTTTCATTTTTAACGGGTTTTTACGGCCCAAGGCTTGGTTCGTCGCCTCGTGCTACTTTGCCCGCACCCGAGTTATCAGCACCAGCCCACTATGTCCAACACTGTAGCCAGTGCTTCCGCTGGTGCTAATGTCGAGAACAGAGGTGTACACTGGATGGAAGACACACGTGTGACGCGCCTCCTAGGTTCTATCCGCCACTTTCCTCCTCCTAGCCGTTGGTTCTGCTTCTGCTGCTACCTTTTCGCAGTCCCGCAGCACTTTTCTCCGGTTTTGAAATTCTTGCATCCGTTTTGGAATCATTGCACACTCAAGTGCCCATGTTTTGTAGCCAGAGGCCTGCTGATTTAGCAGCCAAGAAATCCAGACTGAAGAGTACGTGCGGCTGCTCATTGTTTCGAGCGCCGTGGTGGGTAGGCTCTGCGAACGGCAAGGAGCACTGGTTGTTCTTTACGCTCCTACTGCAATCGCTGATCCGTCGAATCAAATGCGTGTAGCTGAATACCTATCTCGTATTACTGTCGATCACACGTTCAGCCACATGGCTTCTACTACCAGTAAATATCTCGAAAGACCCTCTTATCTGGCTCGACCGTTAGCACGGCGTAGCTCGAATCTTCCATCTTGATCCATTTCACCTGAAAGCGACGTCTCCAAAAGACCAGATGCTATTATCTCTTCTTCTTTCCGGCTTTCAAATCAGCAGACACTCCCCGCTCAGTACGCATAGACACGAGAAAAACATTTTTAGCTCCGCCTAACCGCCACGCTCAACCAGGGTACTAAAAGACTACGTTTATGTTATTAGCTTACAGGCGCTTCGAATCAGTGCTTTGGCTTAGAACGCATCGGTTTCCAAAGACCCGCGAACGCGCCGGTCTTTGAACGCCACGTCGGCCTCCGATAGCCGCGTCACTTCGGAGGAGCAATGTTTAACCGCGGCAGGAAGATTGCGACAAAAGTTGCGGTGAGCGCGGATGCTCAGCTGCAGCAGCGGTTCGAGGAGAAGGAGCGGGAATTGGAGCGGGAGAGGCGGAGGGAGAAGGAGCGGGAGAAGCCGGGACGGCCGACAGAGTGGGACTATCTAACGACCGTGGTGCAGCAGAACCGCGTCGCGCAGCGGAAGGTGAGTGCGTGGATAGCTGCGGAAGGTACGTCACTGTAGGAACGGGCGAAATGGAAGAATTATGTAGGCAACTAATGAAAGAACGCACACTCTGGGCGAAAAGGAATATTATTCAAAGCATTTGTTAAAAGTACACCCAGAGTGGGGTAGAGGGACCGCGAAACGACCGGGGAGCGAGAGCCTCCCAGGTTCAAAAGAATCGTGTCGGCCAAATTTGACGAAAGCCGGGACGGCCAATTGAGTGGAATTATTTGCCGAACGTGGTTCAGACGAATCGTGTCGCGCAACGGAAGGTGCGGCGTCGCTGTAGGAAAAGGCGAAATGTGGGTAGTTGCGAGTGAGGCAGGGTCGAAGGGAAGCAGGGTTTCCAGGAAGCTGAAGGACTTTGCAGAAAAAAAAAAAAAAAAGTTTTTCTTTTGAGAATAATCTAAACAATGTAACTATGGCGCAAGGACGAAGGATGCGGTGAGGTGATTAAGGACGCTATAAGACCCTGCGGAATGGGGACGGTTGACGGAATGAGGACGGCTGACAGAATGCGCGGCGAGCGCGCAATGAACGGCGTGCGCGCAATGAACGGCGTGCGCGCAATGAACGGCGTGCGCGCGATGTATGGCGAGCGGGCAATGTGCGGCGAGCGCGCAATGTAATCAGCAGCGCGTTGCGAGGCATCCCCCTCCGTGTTCCTTCCGCCTTCCCTCCCGGCTTCCCCCCGCTGCCCAAACCAACGCTATCAACCCTTCAACCCCCTTGCACCCTCTCTCCCTTCCCTCCTCCCCCTCCCCCTCTCCCATCCCCCCCATTTCCCACCACAAACCCTATTCCCCCTTTCCGCTTTCCCCTCCCCTTTGCTGCGCCCAACTCCCCGCAGCTCCAGGCGATTGCGGGGACATTGGGGCAACCAGGGGAAGCAAGCGGGGAGGCGCAACCCTTTCCCCCTCCCCACACAGAATCCTTCCCCGCAGCAGTAGCAGCAGCAGCCGCCGCCGCGCCAGCTGCGCCTGGAGGGGGGGAGGCGGAGGAGGAACAATCCAACGGCGGAGATGTGCAGTCGTACACGCAGCACGCTCAACGGCCAGGATACATCCAATCGCATGGCTCTCTGCTGTTCCTGGAAGAGAGGAGCTACAGGATCCTGGCTGTAGCAGAAAATGTCTTTGACTTTTTTGACCAGCCAGATCGGGGGAATGGGGAGAAGAAGGCGGGAGAGGAGAGGGAAGAGGAGACAAAGGAGGGGAATGGGGAGGGAGGGAGGGAAGAGGCGGAAGGAGGAGGAGGGAAGGGTGGGACAGTGAGGAGTCTGCTGGGCCAATCATGTAGCTGCTTGATGACTGAACAGGTGAGACTTGGCGATGTGACTTGCGAGTGAATGCGGAAGTGGGGGTTGATGGGGGGAAAGGGGTTGTGCAGGAAGGGACAGCTGTGAGGAGTCTGCTGGGCCAATCATGTAGCTGCTTGATGACCGATCAGGTGAGACACTGCGATGTAAAAAAGGGAGTGGGGGGGAGAAGAGGGTGGGGGTGTGAGAGGCGGAGAGAGGCAAGTGCCGGAAGGGTGGGGCCGTGAGGAGTCTGCTGGGCCAGTCATGTAGCTGCCTGATGACCGAGCAGGTAAGGCTCTGCGCAAAAGCGATCCTTTCCCAAACATCCTCTCCTCTC